AGAAACATTTATTAGTTACCGCAGAAACCAGGATTGTATCTTCTGACTGGGCTGTATCTTGAATTAAGCCACTTTGTGGAGCAGCGTTGCAAGGGTTGGATGAGATGGGTACTTGATACGACAATGCCTGTTTGTATGCCGATTCTAATGCTTTAGATTTTTCTACGGTTTCACGTAGCGTCAACGTATGGTGCTCCAACAACCTCTGGCGGATTTGAGTAGACTGAATGCCCGATATAAATGCGTCCCTGATAGCTTCGTCACGACGTACATCGCCTATCACACTTTGATAATTACAATCAACAGCTAACGTCCGTAACTTGCACATACTGATCGAGTGTTTGCTCGTTGTCTTCTTTGCATGTGTGAAGAACGTGTCGAGCGAAAATTTCGCTTTTGGTGGGGCATAGATTGAACAAAAAGTATCGACAGCTTCTTTGAACGTGGTGCACTCAGAAACGGATTTATAGACACAAGGAGAAAGATAATTGATCAAAAGTTCCAGTTTGTCCGGATTATGCGTCTCAATACAAGATAAAAGATGGGAGAATGTATGATACCAGTGAGTCCATTGGTCGGTTGCATCAGGAGCGTATGGATCCGCGTCAAATCTGGCTGGTTGAGCAAAGCGTTCCATGGATGAGAAATAATATGTTGAATAAATTGTAGTGGGAGTCGATGACTTAGTTAATCGGTTATTGATCCGTTGAGTAGAATGAGAAGACTTCGCCTAAGGGCTTGCTTTATTCAACATATAAGCACAGTATAGGCTGAAATGACAAGTGAAAGTAAATTATTGGAAATAGCAGTAAAGCGTAACTTTCACTACACCGAGCCTCGCAGATTCGTTAACTGACCCCATGTGTCACATTACAAGCGGTACTAGCAAAACTTCCGAGACATGTAAAATACCCCGCAACTTAGAGTGCTTCTCCCTGGATTGTGAGCGACGTGTTCAACGATTGAATGTCGACGAGCACTCCTCACACTTTGTGAATGTACGGTACATGCCAAAGGACTGGATGACTTTGGTACGTTCATCCAGAAACATCTGTGCCTCCTCGTCTTCGAGGACGAGAACGATCTCGTCTGAATAATCCAGATTGACAAGGTTTTCATCAAAGACTATTGGAACGCCAGGATTTTAAATGCCTTCCAACTTGAGTCAATCACGAAATCATATAGGAATTAGGAAAGGGAGCATCTCTGACAGACAGCACTTTGTATACGGAGGCTTTTGGTGCGGACTCCGTATTGTGTCACCCGGAAATCTGAGCTTATAAAGAATTCATTGTCTTTTGAAACTCACGGATTATTTCCTGATGGGCAAGCCTTTCAAGAAGAACAGACCGGTCAACGGAGTTGAACGTGCCTTGGACTTCCAGGAATACTAAAATTGTGGGTCGTTCTTACATATCGTATTTTGGCCTACTACTTAACGCACATCCACCAACCCATCACTACGCACCACTACGCTTTGTAACAACGCACTGGTAATGTCACCTCGATGGGTGATGAAACGTTTGCAATCAAATTGCTCAGCTCAGTGAATAAACCAACTACCGCATATCGTTTTGTTCTAGCACCAGGGTGAGTGTGAATATTTGGGCAGCGCAACATCTAAAGGGCAGGAGTCCCACCTGCCGCTCCCAGATCAGTGTTTCACAACCCATCATAGGGTGACGAAGGATATATGATGCTAAGCGTTTCGTTTCGACTGGGGTCAAGACCACCCTCTTTGATTCCCGCCCTCACTACAAGGCCTCTTATATAAAAATGGAAACCATAACTGACTCTACATAGTCTTCTGGGGCATTGTCCTTTTACCAAATACACCCAACCAGACCAGACAGGCGCTTACTGAGGACCTCACCCCCATCATTGATCGATGCGGGTGGGAGGTCGTCCAGACCAGGTGCCTGGTGGCGCTTGAGAGAACATGTGAAGTCGTAAGCCTCCGAGGCTGTATGGTGTCCCAGATCCACTGTCCAGGATCCCCATTCAGCTGTAGTATCCAGATCAGTGACAGCGGATGGCCATGAGAATTGTTGTTCGAAGCCTGGCTCAGTAGCCGATACGTTCTTTATTCGTGATGGTCACGTTACTCTGATCCTTGATAGTTTCACTCATTGGCGGTTTCTCGGAATCAGTCAACTAATCTCCGGGCCGTCCCGGCTTTCAGGTTTCTCCGCTTTCCTCAGCATATCGACTACTATCCAGGCTTGGACATCCTGGCAGTATCCCAACCCTTGTGCCTTCCTCCTCGGCATCGCAACGAGACACCGAAAGGGTGTTTAGGCTGAACAGTTGATTGGATAATTTGTGTTCTTGTATGGGTGTGGAGCGTGCTCTTTGTGGACAGATGATGTGAGGCGTTTACAGGTCTTTTTACCACTAATGCTTCAGAAGCATTGTCGGTGTCGGATGGTGTCGGAATTGTAAGGAGGCAATCAGAAAATGGGTGTTTGGTTGTGCTTCAGGTACCTTACTCACAGCTCCATCAACTACGTCCACTCGACCATATGCTAATCATTTCAAAACCGAGTCTACCGCGACGAATGATGTTCCTTATGCCTCCATAATGGTGGAAACTGCGATGTGGACAGCGCATGACCTGACAGAAGAGTGTGAAGAAGATCACGAAGAGTTTGAGTTTTGTTGGTGTATTACGCCTGGGATCCTCGTGGTCCCTCCTGTGCCTGACTGGAGACATTGCAAGAAACGGCGGCTGATCGACGTCAGCGGTTTTCGTGCTCTCACTCTCTTTCCAGGTTGTATGATTTGGGCGCTTGGAGATGTGGGTACATCAGTATGCTTTCCATTCTAAAGCTTCATATATTGGTAGTTAAACTTTGTTGTTTTACGGCAGAGAAGGTTGTCAGCGCTGGTGGTGCTGTTTGACTATGATGATGCGTGGGCGGCTTTTTTCTTGCTTGCTTCAAAGTATGAACATTAAAAGCATCGCGATCGATTGTGTATCGAGGCTTGGGGATATCAGCGTCGGTCGATGCGCTGATGTTGCTTCCAAAACAGATGCAGGACGAACAGAGTGATCAGCCCCAATTCGTAAGTCTGCAGGGAGGGAGTTATTAAAGGGCTAGGGTGGGGGGAAGAAAGAGGGTGCGAAAGAGAGAGGAGTGGTATCAACCATAGGCTCTTTTCGTCTACCCGTTCTGCTGTATGTAGCAAGTAAGGTGACCCGGCTGATGAAACCACGTGGCGGCAAACGTCACTGGGTCACTTGACTGTTGGTTATCTGACCGAAGGGTCTTATGCTACTCGCTGCCTATCAAATAGTAAACAAAATAACACCCTTCTAAATCCATAAGATCATTTCTATATAGGAGCTTTTAACGTCCATACTTTATGTCAAATTGGCAAACAGGCAATATTTACTGAAATCTTATACTCCCATAAAGTTTATGTATGCTGCGTCTCCAAAACACGCATACAAGACCTGAACATGGTTATGCATCGCAGAACGCCAAGGATGAACTCAGTTCTTTCACATTTATCTCCGTGTGACCGGTGACCCAGAAGCGATGACTCGTGGAATGTACGGCGTGGAAGTCGAACTCAACGCCAGAGCTGAACACGCTTAGCTGGATTGGATCCCAGTGAACAGTCGTCTTTGCGCCGTCCGGTTATCCAGTTCAATCAAGCTCAATGCCTCTCGGCATAAAAAGCGGTGCCTGTTTGTAGTGTCGGCTTATCCCTCAACGGACTGTAGTTCTGATGCTGAGAAAGGTACTTTCTATCGAGAGCTATCCGGGCTCATTCGTCAGGCGAAACCACTGACACTGTGATTTGTGCAGGCGATATGAATGCCCAAACAGGTCATCTGGGCTCCTTGGAATCACATTTGGGCGGTCGATTCGGAGTCGCTTCCCGCCGCACAGACAATGGAGATCAACTCCGTCAGTTACGTGCTGACCATGAATTGTATCTGACAAGTACGAACTTTTAACACAAACGTTCACATAGCGTAACCTTGCGGCCACCAACTGCAAATCAACCATGGACCCAGTTGAACCACGTAGCCACCGGCCTCCTATGGAGAGCCACAATTCAAGACTGCTGTTCCCTCTGGGGTACACCACTTGATTCCGATCATGCCATGGTGCGTGCTTACTTGACAGTTCGTTTTCCTTCAGGCCCTCGCAAGCTAGCAAGAAGTATGCCAATCCACTATCTTCGAAGAACTGCCATAGCTCAACAGTACCGATCTGAGCTACCTCAACAACTCTTCACGGACACTGTGTGAAAATTACCGTGGCATCAGCCTGTTTGCTGTGGTATCAAAGGTTCTCTCTTATCTTATCCTTGGAAGGTTGACCGAACACAGGGAGAGACAGATCCGTGAAAACCAAGCTGGGTTCCGTCCCAGAAGAGGATGCACCGATCATATTTTCACCTTCCGACAAATTCTTGAACAGCGGCACTGATTACAGCAACCAACAATGGTTGTATTTATCGATCTGAAAGCTGCCTTTAACTCTATGGACCGTCAGGCACTATGGCAGTGTATGCGAAGCAATGGTGTTCCCTATAGATTCTTGACTCTCCTTAAGGCGCTATACGCCAACTTCCGCGGCCGTGTGAAGGTCTACGGAAAACTGTCGCCTGAGTTCGCCACATTCAGTGGTGTCAGACAAGGCTTTCCTCTTTCACCTTTCCTCTTCAACTTCATCATTGATACGATCATGGAAGACTCACTATCAGTCTCCAATTGCTGTGGGGTCAAAGTGCTCCCTAAGCGTCCGCTCACAGATATCGAGTATGCAGACGACATAGCTCTTCTCGCATCTGACCCCGTGGTAACACAAACAATATTAAATATTCCAAGTAATTCTGCTTCACGGTTCGGCGTGTGCGTCACACCTGCAAAGTGTAAAGTGCTACTGCACGGCTGTGTGGCTCGAACCATAGCCTTATGCTTGTGAATGAGCCGATTGATGTAGTAGACAACTTTGTTTTGCTGTCGATGATGAGGGTACTGAGAACTTTGTTTAACTGGGCAGCCAGAGGCGGTCAAACGATGGCTTGGCAGTGGTTCTTACAGCTGACAATGATGATTGGTGTGGTGGGACAACTGTAACCATAGTTGCATCACACCATACAATGTGGTTGTGGGGATGACTTGCCTTGTGTGTGGTTGAAGTATTTGAAACAAGCTGGGCAGATCGACTGATCAGAAACACACTGATACCTGTTTTATTCAGAATCCATGTTTTTTTCTGAACTGTACACAGGTCTTTCATAGGTAGCTTCTTCCAGTAGGATAGTACTTGAGGAAACTTCGCACTTTCATAAACAGTCGTGCGTAAGTCTGATTGGAATGGGACCTCAAGGCTACTCAAGCAAAGTGCTGTCTCAAGTGAGGTTCGTATGCGATTCGATCATGAAATGTCTGCGTGAATTCGGGGTTTCTTCAAGCAAAACGCAGTCACTCTTATGTCGGTGCACTTCCTTATTGGTGTAGGTATCTAGCGCTACCACTTTCACAAGCTGAATGATTTCTGACGCCAATGGTTGAACTGTGGAAGACCTTCACTAGGTTGTGTTCTTGTATTGATTTAATAGCATTGATGTCAATTGGCTTCTAAATGAATGGTTTATGTGTGGACCTGGGACTAGCTGAGCAGTTTGGGCCGTAGTCCTGTGAACAGAATGGCATATACCCAAAATGTACTTCTAAATCTGAGTAATAGGCCGCTGTGTTCTTGGAATCTCCTCTCTAGGGAATTATTCGATTCCGTTGTGTGAATTTTGGACTGGACCATTTAGTACTGGTCTTGGAAACACAATCCTCTGAAATTGGGCTCCAGAGTTGCACACGTTTAAAATACTCTAACCGTTCACCAGTGGTCAGATGTTCCTATCAATAAGTATGGTTCAAATCCAATTTTACGTGATCGAAATTCAGCGCTCACAAACCGGTCAGTTGACGCATTGTTCTTACAGCCAATCTGAAGCTGTTAACTCAGAGGTCAATAGTCTGCTCCCTTTGCATTGTACTGACGAGTTCCAGAGCGCTTATGTGGCTCAACTTTTCTAGGTCCGGGATGTGGTTTTTTAAGAATTCTTTTTACTGACTTCTAGTATGTGATTCCTTCTCTGGGATCTCTTGCCGAAGGCCTTACCCGACTGTCTGCTTAATCAACCAGTATTTTAGCACATATTATTCGGCGGTAATTCTAGTAAAACTGCATGTCCGGAACATTGTTTGTTCTCTTACACCCCTCAATTTTATTTCAGAATCTGACCTACCTTTGTCCGTATCCGAAGCGGTATCAGTGGAAGGTTCTCTATGAATATTTCGTGAGTGATCGGCACATGAGTACGTCCACTACGAGGATTGGTCTGTAACGCAGCAATCTCTGTCGCACAATGGCCTGTTTCGTGCAAGAGTGGCCAGTTTTCCCGCGTTGTTCAATAAGCCAGTCGGTTCCTTGTTCTTTGCATGTTTCAAATGAAGAGAACATTTTTTGTGTCGTCTTTGATAAGGACCTACTCATTTTCGATCAGAAGGTGTGCATGGTTGTTGATCTATCTGTCACTTGTAGACGTCAGCTGTGATTCTTCATTACGAGCGCTCTGAGGATTCCCTTCTGCAGTACGGTGTGAATATCGGGAGCGTTCTGAGGGCAGATGCTAAATACATCACTCTATTGGTAAGGGGGAACTTTTGATTTTTAGGCTTTCTAGACAGCGGCTGGGTATTTTTTGACGCTACGATTCAAATCCCAGGCAGTCAGTTCCACAAATTCGCCGTTGGGAAGTGAAAGGTAATGTTTTGTGTCCCTATTCACCTGTTCCTCAGGGGGGCTGGTGAGTTGCCAATAATCGATCGTGATTGGGCCGTTGAGTCTCTTACCACAATCATGGTCGGAATCGATGTAAATTGGTAAGTTTAACCACAACATGTGATTTCTGCTTCCAGTATTTGTATGTATGGGGAACATCTATTCACGACTTTCAAGAACGGCACAGTTTATATCCTAACGTGGGATGGGAAGCCGTTGGGCGACTTTGCGACATTAAGCAAAACTCCGTTTTTTCACGATGTGGAACACTCTAGAGGCAAGTCATGTTCAAATAATCCCACATTCGACTTTCTCACTGTGTTTACGAATTGCCGCTGATTCATTTTAGACATCCACCAGTGTTCATTTGTGCGCGCACCCAACCAACTGACCTAATCGATCGGAAATAATCCCAAAATGTATATGCAGTAGAGTTTGGTCTAACGGTGATTCACCTTGAATAAAATGTATCGATGCAACTCAGCCATCATTCACCGTTAGCCCAGAATAATGTGACGAACAAAGCACATAACTGTAGCTGTCCAAGACTAAACCATAACGGGTTTTGAGTGGTCACTTTCCAAATGTGTTCACTGCGCTACCGAAGGGTGTTACTGCAATCCGAAGGGCAGCCGATTTCTCTGATCTGGCTTTCATTTACACACTGGATAACGGATTGTATGCCGAAGTTAGTGAATGCACGTGTTCATTGAGTTCGAAGCAACAGGTTTCTTTTGTACTGATTGTGAGATCTACCTGCTAGGACATACCCAGCGAGGAAGTTTTCAGCACTACTATTGGTGGCTTGTTCGGGTCATTCAGAGCCGTGATGACTCGAGTCGAGATGTTTATGTTCACAGTGGTGTGGTAGCAGACAGGTGGATCCCTGTTCCTCAATAAATGTTCTAGTCACGGATGGGATTGTTTCAACTTGGAAAAGCGTGAAAGCTTCGAACGGATTAATTGCTGTCGGCCAAAGTTATACCATTGTGGAGTAATCTTGCTTTAATTATTGTAGAAAGGTTTAAATGCCTGCTAGGCAAATACCTCTGATATTGATTCAACTTTTGGAAGCACGAGCCTTTCCCCAAAGGAGGTCTGTTTCTCAGCACCTGTGCTAAGCTTTTGATTGGATGACGACCAACGACAGAGCTGACAGACCACTGATCCGTTGATCTCGCCCACTGAAACAGAGGAAACCCTCTTATGGTTGATCTCGAACGAACTATTAGAAGTGGGCTTTTCGATTGCATTAACTTGGGAAAACCCTTGGTATTTTTCTGCATAAGCACAGCTGGGAAGAAAAGCAATCGCGTTTCGTTTTTGTATTTGCGAAACTAATATGTCGCTTCCAAAAATTGCGCCCACTGAACTTCATTCTTTTATTCATGATTTCGCAATAAATCACAGGAAATGAACAGTAGGTGGCGTTTGTGCTTTTTTGATATCCGTCATGAATCGTTCTCTGATGGACGAAGGGAATCCACAGCTGGAGGATGTGGCGTTTAATACTGAGACAAACTCGATGAGTTTCAGATATTCATTATGTGTCTATGCTTCTGTGGATTGCCGTCGGCCAGGAGACATGTAATCTGGGATTTAACTATTGAGTGCAACGTTTCTCTGGCTTATTTCCACAAATAAATGAAATCCTCACCGTTTCTATGGTTCATTGCTGTTGCTAAATATCATACCTTGCTAATGGTGACAAAATACAACGATATGATGTGGCACAAGGGTAGTGCTTGATACTAAGTGGGTGAATAATTTTTATCTGCACTTTTGAAATGCTTTTTTGTGCAAGCGTGTTCCGGCTCCCACTTGATGGCAGTCTGTTTCTTCTCCATACCTTCCGGTAAATTTGATGTGAAAGCAATTAGGTTGCTTTTTCACCGATGCGATGCGCCGCGGGATTTTTGTTTTCGGTACGATTGTTGTTTGTTTCTCCCAAATAGGGACCTCCCTCTAACGGGAGCACATTTTTTAGATCCCGCAAACTTTACCTTTAGGTCGATGAACAATGTGAAACGGGTTGTGAAATAGGCTCTTCAGGGTAAATGCGAATCGATTATTCTGACGACGCAGCATTTAAGAATGCAGCGAAGTCGGAAACTTTGGCTAGGTTCAACCAGTTTCCAATGCCGTCTGTGTTTCACTGGTACACAGTAGGACCGGATGAGATTTAATCTCTCTTGTAATTAATTTCTAATATATAATGTTACAAGTCACTAGCATGCCAACGCTGGTTGACCAGCGTTGGTTTACGTCAGCGAAGCATCAGTGCCGAACGTCGATGTGCTGTCGATGATTATGATGATGGTGATGACTAATCTGTTGTAGATAATTTTTACATTATAAATTTGAGGATGACCAGTCAAATAAAGGTATCCGTGACAAGCTAAAGGAGACTGATTTTAGATTCAAGGGGAAGGTCACCAAATACTTACACCAGTTAATTAGTTTCCCCCGAACCAACTGAGCATTGATGTCCATAGTGGTATCTCACTTTAATTCTTCCTTGTGTGATAGTGAAGCCTCTAGTGGGACCGAATAGAGTCATATATATGCATCTATAACATATAATGTGTGTAGGTATATGTGCTTATGTAGGTTTCTACGTATACCTTCCTGTGTAATATATATCATATTTAAACGCTAGATCTTTCTGCCTGCCAAGGATGACTTTCCCTAGAGAGAACCCTTTGGCCAGTGCACCAAGTAGTCCATATTGTGGGAACCGTCTTGTTCTCCGTTATGAACTCTCGAGAAATATACTCAACTTTCTCCAGGTTCATCAGCATACGCATGTTTCGGTCTAAGTGCATTGAAGAGTGTACCCATTAGAATATTTACTCTTGGATGGTGGTTCAACACTTACTTGTAGCATGTGTGGGGACACAAGATTTTGTTTCATATTGCGGCAGCCTCGAAATTTTAAGGTGCCCTCTTGTCACCTTTCTACTCTGCCTTAGAGATCTCACTATGGATAGGTATTCACTTAAATGTTTTGCTACTCCATTACCCAACAGAAGGTCATCAAAATTGTCTAATCCTGATAAATACTTCGTACGATCAGTTGTTCTCTGACATCCTTTAGCAACGCAGCTTTGTGAGTGTCAGTCACCACAGACGCAGTCCCTGATACCTCTAATTCGCATTACCGGTATGTGTTAGGACGCATTTTGTTGTTGGGCACAGCCGTGAATATCATATTACGTGAACAGATACTGAACATACTATCTCTCTTCTGAACCGTGGGATTATTTGACTATGAAGACTCATCATTTCACCATTTCACTTGAGCGAGATCACTCGGCGGTTGGAGCGCGAAGTTGTCGGCCGGAAGGTCCGTGGTTTGAGCCTGACCTCCGCCTCTCGACTTCCCCTGTCTAGGCTTGGGCAACCTGGCAGTATCCCAGCCCTCATGCCCCTTCGGGTAGCAAGGCAGCTAGGCACCAAAAGAGTGTTACAGCTGAACAATTTTTTCATTTCATTTGAGCCGCTCAATAGTGTATACCTACTTGTAAGATAACACGTTTTCTGGTTGACTTCCATTAGTTATGGTCGAGTAGAGACTTCAAAGAATACGCAGGTATTTTGACTGCCGAATTCACCACAACTGTTTACTATCGCTCATTGCCCTAACAGATAAACTAACTGCTTGGCTTTGAACAACATGGGAGGTTTTCAAAGTGACTTTGCCTCTCATGGTGAGTTTTTGAGAGGCAAATGTGGAACAAAATAGAGTTCGTGCTGGGGACCTCATAAGTGTGCAATTATTGAGATGTGTATCGCTTTTATCATTTGTATTAATTGGCACAAGCCGTCCTTCTCATTCGTCCTCCACGATCTCAAAACTTCTTTGGATGAATTGTGTGCAAATCACAAGACAGGTTGTTGCAAAAAATAAATAACTTTGGGGGACTAGAGGCGTTTACTCATGTCGAATAAGTCATTTGACGTACTTCGTCTTTCTGGTTCTTTCAATGGGTAACTGATTCGTTCGAAGGTCTTCCTCTTGCCAGTCTTGTACGTTTTACCAGTATCCATCTACACTTCAAGAAGAGGGACAGTCTCAACGTTGTAGAAATCAATAGGTCACTCACTGTCATTCACATTATCTTGAACACACATGGACCGAATCTTTGTATGCATTATGTTCCGTTTTCAGCTCGCAAGTTGTCATCTCCCGGTATCTTTTGCCAAGCTGTTGAATGGGCACCGACTTTCGGAGGTGTAATAACGATTTTATCCTCGGGCGACATAGCTCTACTGAGAGTTCTGAAAAATGGTGATGGAGTTTGGGTACGTGCTGAAGTTTGAAGCTTTAATCTTTTTGGCAGTGAACTTGTTCATTGTCGCATAGCACTGCTAACACAGATTTGTGCTAAACCTGTCTGACGAATCTTGTTGTTGATACTAGAAGTCCCTGCTGAATTTGCACGATGTCTTGATGTGGTATTATGTTCCGGGATCCTTTCGCTTAGGTGGTGAGCAGGAGAAAAACGCTGTTACAAACAAACAGTTACGGTTAGGGTCAAATGTACTGATCCCTTGACTGGTATGAAATGGAGAGTGTGTCGTCTGTTGTAAAAATTTCGATTGCGTTCAGTCAGTCTATCCTGAACGAAATGTATGCAGTCGAATGCGTTTTTTTTAGTGTAAGTATACTGATTACTGCGCCTCGTGAAAGATATCGAGCAGAGACCACCTAACCAGCCCTTCATCCTACATGGTGTTATGTAGATAAAGACTTCGTCATTTGCCTACAAACCTTATGCTTTTTGTTCCCGTGGAGATGTTTGTGGCTCTTGAGAAAGTGAACTGGCGCGCGACTTAAAACTATTGATTCGTTTAGCAGGATATTAAGCGACCTTGACTTACTGTGACCTCAGGTATGAGAACTCACCAGATATCAGAAAACAGCATGAGGTCTAATAGATGTCCCATTTGAGTCCAAACCTGATGCCAATTTGATTTGCAAATGGACGGTTTCGCGTTCATCTGCTTGGCACCTGGCGTCCCAAAGGAGAAGTAGTTGATCAGATCCCAGTAGTCAGTCTCCTAATCAGCCAGTAGTGTGTTTTCTCCTAATTTCGATCATTCCTTTTGGCAGTAGTTTGTCATTATCTTGTATTTTCAGAATTTAGAAGGAATCTGGGCTGAATGTACCGAAAATCCAGTTTGTCTCTCTGTCAACAATCGATTCCGTACCGTGGCAGTTGGGAGTGAGAAGTGAGTCAGTTTAATACATACTTACACTCAGTCCCGATATACACAAGCGTTTTGGGTGCGTTGTTAGTGGGGACCGCTGTATCGAGTTCAGATTTACAAACCATAGCTCATAATTTCGAAAACGAGATGTGAACTCTGTATTCGTTCCTACGGACTTTGTCGTTTGTGGATCTCACGTTATACCCTTCCGAGTACGCTTGCTTCCGGTGGACAAAGTAGCTGCATGAAGGAACTACGTTGTACGTAGAAATCCCCTCAATTCATATTTCCCATGCGTGTGGTTTTGCTTTTAACGATGAAAAACTGCCAAGCGAAAGGGATAACAGATCCCTCTGCCCATCAGGTTAGTCCCTATCAGGATGACACATGTGAGTCGTCGCTTCTCAGGTTTAACCATTTTCTGCGTTCTTTTCATTATCGCCTTCAAGTTTCGTCAGTAGGTTATCAGATCTTCCAAGAGAATTGTGGAAACTAGGAAGTTCCAGTTTGAATGCTCCCGGATAGTCAAATATCCCAACAAATTTGTTGCGTGTACTGAACCAAGAAATCGCTCCATGGTTGGGCGAAGCTTCCTTCCTTTCCTTCCAATTCCTCCGCCCTTCAGAGGATGGAAGTTCACTGATAGGCATCGGGATTTAGGCTGACGTAGTCCATATAGTTGAATCGCTTATTCACTCATACCCTTCGGAGAAATCTACCTTGACTGTGAATGCTTCGGGTCAACTCTCAGATGAACAACTCATTTCCTTGAGTTGTATAGGATGGTGGTATAGGCAGTCAGTTTCCGACCAAGCTGCTACAGGACTGGATAGGACTAAATTCAAACCTCATGGTTGCAGACGAGCCAATTGATGTGGGAGATAAGTTTGTTTACCTGGGCAGTTGTGTAGGTGCCGGCGCACTTGATGGAGATAAGATTACTTCTCGAATCGGGAAAGCCAGTGCAGCTTTTGCCAATCTCCGACACCTATGGCGCCCATATGACGTTAGTTTGTCTCTTGAGGGTAGAATTAACACCGCGACAGTGCAGTATACAGTGCTTTATAGATTGGGGACGCGGCTTCTACGCACAGAGGACATACGAAAAATGTCAGTGTTTGACGATCGGTGTCCGAAGCACTGGTCAGGTATGATTAGAACGTCGGATTGATAATGTTGAAGTACGCCAAATAGTTCTTAGAAGAAGGAACTCTGCCGCGATAGATGAATTACTTACGTTCCTTAGTTTACGCTGGTTTGGACTTACCAGAAGATCAACTGTCTCACAGAGCTCTTCTGAGTGAAAGGGATCAAGAGGTGGAAAGTGTATGACCTGGCAACGAAGTATGAAAACACCAACGCGTAAACTGAGTCGAATTGACATCTGTCGCCTCCCTGGGATGGGGGCCCTGGGACTCAAATCACCAATTGTTAACAGCACTGGCAGAAATGGCCCAATCGCTCAATCAGTGGCCCTTAGGCATCGAGGCCATCGTAATCAGCCAGTAGTGTGTTTTCTCCTAATTTCGATCATTCCTTTTGGCAGTAGTTTGTCATTATCTTGTATTTTCAGAATTTAGAAGGAATCTGGGCTGAATGTACCGAAAATCCAGTTTGTCTCTCTGTCAACAATCGATTCCGTACCGTGGCAGTTGGGAGTGAGAAGTGAGTCAGTTTAATACATACTTACACTCAGTCCCGATATACACAAGCGTTTTGGGTGCGTTGTTAGTGGGGACCGCTGTATCGAGTTCAGATTTACAAACCATAGCTCATAATTTCGAAAACGAGATGTGAACTCTGTATTCGTTCCTACGGACTTTGTCGTTTGTGGATCTCACGTTATACCCTTCCGAGTACGCTTGCTTCCGGTGGACAAAGTAGCTGCATGAAGGAACTACGTTGTACGTAGAAATCCCCTCAATTCATATTTCCCATGCGTGTGGTTTTGCTTTTAACGATGAAAAACTGCCAAGCGAAAGGGATAACAGATCCCTCTGCCCATCAGGTTAGTCCCTATCAGGATGACACATGTGAGTCGTCGCTTCTCAGGTTTAACCATTTTCTGCGTTCTTTTCATTATCGCCTTCAAGTTTCGTCAGTAGGTTATCAGATCTTCCAAGAGAATTGTGGAAACTAGGAAGTTCCAGTTTGAATGCTCCCGGATAGTCAAATATCCCAACAAATTTGTTGCGTGTACTGAACCAAGAAATCGCTCCATGGTTGGGCGAAGCTTCCTTCCTTTCCTTCCAATTCCTCCGCCCTTCAGAGGATGGAAGTTCACTGATAGGCATCGGGATTTAGGCTGACGTAGTCCATATAGTTGAATCGCTTATTCACTCATACCCTTCGGAGAAATCTACCTTGACTGTGAATGCTTCGGGTCAACTCTCAGATGAACAACTCATTTCCTTGAGTTGTATAGGATGGTGGTATAGGCAGTCAGTTTCCGACCAAGCTGCTACAGGACTGGATAGGACTAAATTCAAACCTCATGGTTGCAGACGAGCCAATTGATGTGGGAGATAAGTTTGTTTACCTGGGCAGTTGTGTAGGTGCCGGCGCACTTGATGGAGATAAGATTACTTCTCGAATCGGGAAAGCCAGTGCAGCTTTTGCCAATCTCCGACACCTATGGCGCCCATATGACGTTAGTTTGTCTCTTGAGGGTAGAATTAACACCGCGACAGTGCAGTATACAGTGCTTTATAGATTGGGGACGCGGCTTCTACGCACAGAGGACATACGAAGGATGTCAGTGTTTGACGATCGGTGTCCGAAGCACTGGTCAGGTATGATTAGAACGTCGGATTGATAATGTTGAAGTACGCCAAATAGTTCTTAGAAGAAGGAACTCTGCCGCGATAGATGAATTACTTACGTTCCTTAGTTTACGCTGGTTTGGACTTACCAGAAGATCAACTGTCTCACAGAGCTCTTCTGAGTGAAAGGGATCAAGAGGTGGAAAGTGTATGACCTGGCAACGAAGTATGAAAACACCAACGCGTAAACTGAGTCGAATTGACATCTGTCGCCTCCCTGGGATGGGGGCCCTGGGACTCAAATCACCAATTGTTAACAGCACTGGCAGAAATGGCCCAATCGCTCAATCAGTGGCCCTTAGGCATCGAGGCCATCGTCTTCAATGCGTACCCAGTCAGTTTCCGAACAAAATGAACATGTCATCGTCTCCAAAGCTGGCTGAATGCCCCACACTCCCGTCGGTGATCGAACTGTACTGGAGCCGGCGAACAAAATGAACATGTCATCGTCTCCAAAGCTGGCTGAATGCCCCACACTCCCGTCGGTGATCGAACTGTAACATCTGGAGCCGGTGTGTTTGTGGTACACGGTATATAGCTGATAAATCGAATTTGACTGAATTGAAGCTGTGAACTATGAAAGCCCGTTCTCATTTGGATTGTTGACTTATGTCTCCTTGGATGGTGACATCAATGTTTATCCATATTACTACCCGTAGTCCAGTCACGTAGTTAATCAAGCTCAAACAGCTAACTTGTCACCCTCTCTACGTCTCAGTCTCCCAGTCTCCTGTTACTCTTCCTCCTCCCATATGCGTTTGTACTCTCACTTTCCTGCCTATCATAGTTGGTCAAGACTGTAGCACACGGACCTGTATCATTGATGCATGGTTTTCCGTTGATAAGCCGAACTGTGGTGTGGTGCCGTAGTTGGTGGGTTGTTGCTTTTTAACAAAACTACAAACTCTAACGAAATCAAAATTCTCAGACAATCATTAGTTTGCCCTTACGACGAAAATGTTGGAGACGGAGTTTACCCCCGAGAAGGTAGTTATCTGATATTCTTCGGGTAAATTATTGCATGTCGGTTTCCGGGACACTGAGATGTGTGAAGTAATCGGGATACATGAGCGGATAAAACGCTCAATTGGCCAGTTTGGCGGTTTGCACAACATTCTTCTAGTTGCTGTTTTCCTGTGGTCAATTTTTAGTAATCCCATTTGTAGCGATAATTCTGATTATTTCGTTTTCAGCACAGAAGTGTCCCTGTATCGGTTGGATGAAACAACGGGAACCGTGTTCGTCCAACAGCGTCTCCGGGTTTCAAACCGCGAATACCCAGGTGAGTCAGGTTTTTCGCAACTCCTACGGATTGTTCATTCTCAAAATTGGAAGCACCATATCTCTGTTTTCTGAGCTGATTTCGATGTATAGGTACTGTATTTTCTACGTTCCTTATGTTTGTCGTTGAACCTGGTGCGCAACAATCATATTCTTGTCAGGTCAGGTTGGGTTGGTTTTCACTAACGGTAGCCTAAAAACAATTGTATTCTACACATATGTACCACAGCATCTGAAACGGAAATAAAACAACGCATACAAGTTGGAAAATCTGTGATTTTTTACTGCACATAAGCAGAGGTGGTGTTTTTTCGTCGGTTCTATCTTTCTCACTCAGCGAGAATTCCTGTGAAAATGGTCTTGGCCTGCTTCGTGCGGTCATGAATCCTTGGTTAGTCCCGTGGCTTAACTGTCTGTTCTAACTTGGAGAGTTTGCTATCGTAGTTTTTCACTTCCTTTCAAAGAGCGACCGGGATCACTTACCTTCACGAACCTATGGTGCATGATTGGGTCCGTAGGGTTTCCAGGAGTTGTCTTTTAAAGAGGGATAGAAGCTAGCAGAAGATCAACTACAACCACTAAACGCTAGTCACTTGATGGGCATCACGTTTTGTCGTCACCTATCCGACCCTAGTTATAAGAATATAAAGTTTATCTTATTTCTCAACGGTTACACGCTAATGGAACTCCTAAATGAATCATCATTTCGGAAATTGGGTCATTTCCTGTTGCATACTAAAGGGATTAAGACTATTTGTAAGTGGTGGCCAAAGTCATTACTAACGATTTACTTGTTTTCAACTAAATGATCTGAGGTCTTTTGGCTATAGCAAGCAATCGTAAGTAACTTGGCCCACGACTCTCCAAAGTATCGTGTTCTAATGAAATTTTTGAACAAAAATGACCTTACTTCCGCCAATTATGGGAACATTGACCAGAAAACTAGATAGTATTTGTAACGAATCCATCTTCCTGTGAGACACCAGTACATAATTCTGTAGAGACGAAGGCTCTGATCCATGTGGTATAATGTCTTACCTTCTGATGCCCTTACCTCCTGAATACCGTCCCCAATGCAATGCTCTTGACCCCCTCTTTTACTGTAATAGAGAAGTCAAAATTTTACTCACTCAGGTTGTTTTTAACACATTCTGCTTGTCGGCCCATGGACCCGGGCCATCACTTTTTAACCCAAACCTTTTATAACGTCCCCTAAAGTGTGTTGTTCAATTGACCTTGTCAACAGACGCAACAACCCTTGTGGGACCGGCCACCAAACTGGCTTGGTCCACGGATGGCTACACGTTGGCAGTCGCTTGGGCTAACTGTGGCTGGGCCTTGTGGTCTGTTTTCGGAGGTTTGCTACACACCAGTCTCGGGGAACGAGTGGGTTTAGCGGACCGTATCAAAGTATCACAAATGGTATGTGCTGATGAACATGGTTTTTCGAATTCCGCGTCAAAACTTATTTCACCTTCCCCACTCATCGTTGTCTGTGCATTTCTTCGGGCTGGTTTTTCTCGCACTTGTGTATCATTTTCTTACCTTTAGTTAATAAATCGATTGCGTAGACTTGGTCAATCATATGATCCTTTTTGCATATTTGACCACGTTTAACGTGAATGGAACACTCTCATGTCACACTGATCTGTTTTCAGTTACCCCAGCGAAGCCGTTCTTTCGCTACAGGTGGAATACATTCAGGGTGAAACAGATGTCTTATTGATCTGGATCTACCAAGATAATCTACTGGTCTGCTGATTCACATTAGGACCATAAATGTTTGTCATCCTTGATGGCTATGCTTTCCCGGTCATCTGCCTTTTGCGTGTTCGATATTATTAGTACTCGGTATCTTCGAAAGGTGTTCAGTAAACTTCGCCTGCGGTTTGCGAATATTTTCAGGCCTGGTCCGCGAACGATTGCCAATTGGTAACCGTAATGTCTTTTTTGAGTCCCAAGAAGAATCATTCTCCTACTCTTGAACGATCGGCGGCTGTCGAGGTGGAAAATGAAAGGTGTGATAGTGAGCAACATCAATGTCCTGCTCATATTGCGGTGTTCCAGTTGGCTCGATCCGCACTGACTACCAACCCAACGTCGGTTAGTGAGTATTTCACGCTAACATGGTTTTTTTTCATGAAAAATATTTGTAGGCTAGTTTTAGGCGATTCGGAGCTCGTGTTATTGGCCGCGTCAATTCTGCATACGCACCGGAAATCTCAATCTGGTTGGTACAAAAGTGATAAGCTTTCCTTCATAACCGGTGTTGCAAGTCTCGCCCTATGGATAGAGTAAGAAATTCTCGTTGATTGGCAAGGCTCTGGATGATCGAATTCTAGCGATAGGTAAAGCATGGATAACTGAACTGGTTGTCTTCTGTATCGGGAATGACCTTCAGAGAAGTTGCCTTCATGAAAAGATCAGATCATTCCACCGTGCCCCCCTTCGATGAATAACTGCCAGGTTACTTAACGGGAGCACAAAGCCTGATGTAGTCTGGTTGCTTAAGCCGGCATGGGCTAGTTCTGAGCCACAAATCTTCCTGTTACTCACCTGCACATAAGAATCCTAGTTCTCTCAGAGCTTCGGAAATGCATCGCTCTGAAGAGTCATACACTTCCAGGATTATCTTGATAAACTTGTGAAGTTGCACGTAAATTAGCTAAGATAAGGATATTTCCATGGCATATAATTGAGCCTATTTAGTGAATAGGCTACTGTGTAAATTTTGCCATCAGCTGTCGGACCACGTTGTTTCACTTAGTTTTGTAATAATGTTTAAACCTGTCTCATCACTCACCAGCTAGTGTTCCACTCTTGATAGGTAGGTGAACACGGGCTGCTGGGTCAGATGTTTCTGTCAACGGTTAGGACTTGATATAGTAGCTACTGACGTGTTGGATTGTTCCAGCATCTTGAGGCATGTCACGAGTTCTTAACAGTCTTCTACGCAGGAAGTTTGCGACTCCTGTTCGCTCCATTTTTTCGGCAATTCGCCTGTAACAACTGTCAGCGCAAATGGATGTTTGCCAATTCACCTAACAGTTGTTTCTGGTGCCTAAAGAGTGTTCTTCCAGGGCGTTGGTGCAACTTTGGGGATACCTACTGCCTAGTACCTATTGAGGGCCAACTTAGTGTGGATAAGTTTACTGAGAAGACTAAGCCTTACTAGCTAAGCTTACCATAGCATTCATTCTGAAAGAAGGATGTAGTGAGCTATTCGTCACTGCACTTGTTAGAGACGAGTTTACCAGTTGTTCCGCGCTTCTGTGTCCTATATTCTAATTATCTTACCTTCTCTTCCTTTAGGATAACCACCATCATTTGCTCCTCCAAACGAGCGATCGAGTTTTGTTTTCGAACCGCAGTCAGCTGACCAGTAGTCGCAATCTCCAGACGTTGCTTGTCCCAGCGCTGTACATGAAACACAATTGGCCTTTGCGGGTAAATCCTGTTGTTGCGGACTATGCGTATACTATTCCGTTCACAGCTACCCGTGTAACTGGCGTTAGGGAGGCTAACTGCTCCATATGTTTTATCGAAGTTTACTATTTCGATAGTCCTGCTGGTCCTAGAGAATACTCTTGCCTTTTATTTATTACCGTTTACTTTGGAACAACGTTTTATATCATGTTGGTACTCGGATTGCTAGAAGCTTTTCTGAAAACAGGATCTGTTTAGTCCTGAAAAGCAATCCGCTACGCGTCTCGTTATCAGATGGATGTAGCAGAACTGGTCGTATCCCTTTGGTTGACGGTTTTCATAATCTTCGTACTGATCAAATCCTCCACGAGGATAGCAGAATAAGCCAATTAATCAGCTTAGCTAACGGCGTTTTCCTGGACTCTAATTTGTAAGTGTTACTTCTAACTGCTACTGTCGATATGTGCTTGTCATAGGATGTAATATGGATCACCTCATAAATATGAGGGACACAAAACATGCATAGGTTTGGTCGTTGGCTTGTTCACTAAGCCTGCCAATTCGTTTGCGAACGTTTCATCACCAGTCGAGGTGACATCATCAGTGCGTTATTTGGGAGCGCTACGCACAACTACGTTCCCCAATAACGCACTGATGATGTCACCTCGATTGGTGATGAAAGGTTTGCAATCAAATTGCCCAGCTCAGCGAACAAGCCAACGACCATCTACGCTACCTGGGCTACCGACATGCATAGGTTTACAGTGTTTCAGGGTTAACCTTGTTTTATACCTGAACATATAGTACCAAAATGTGTTGACTCATATAAAATGAAGCTGGAAACAGCCACTTTTTTCGGGCACGCGATGTTTCCAGTTGATTGATGTCATTGGACGAGGTTTCCTGTTAACCCCAATACTATCGTACAGCAGAGGCCGTAGCTTTTGGAAGGTCTAATTCCCAACATAGTTGGGATCGCTCCTCAAGTGCTTTTCTGTGTATCTTTTTCAAGCTTTCCACAGCGTGAACTAAGGCCAAGTTCATGTTTTGGATCCATGTGCATACACTATGAATTGCTAAAAATATATCAGAAAATAATCATTCTGATTCGCGTGGTAATCAGATAGCGATGGTTTCACCTCGTTATTATTGGTGCTCGTCGTCCTATTTGCAAGCCAACTGGTTCCGGTGAAACTTTCACTCAAATTATTTATTCCGTATGGATTATCCGCAGTACGTGGCTATGAACATGGATGGCGGTCGTATCGCTGTCTCCGGTGAATATGGGTTCGCACACTACAGTTGTGTCACGAGACGTTGGAATATGTTCGGAAACGAGGTCCAGGTTAGTTTTCCGTTGTTCGGATTGTCTGATGAGTTTATTCAATCCTATACAAATCCAGCATCGTGATCATATGCAACAACTCCAACATCCACACTGTCCTGTAACTGTACAAACATTCCCCTGAATCCCTGTGCTGAGTAGAATGAAAGCTAAATAAGAATGGCGTAGTACTTGGAGCATTTGGAAATACAGTAACTCAACTGAGATTTGCCCTGTTTAGCGCAGGTGCTGAATTCGTTAGGCGTGCGGTTTGTGACTAGTCACAGTATCCTAGATAATAATATCCTATCGAGTTGCTACTGTCCCTATCGATATAATTGGTGAGATACGATGCGTGTTAACTGATAGGGAGCAATACGCCCTATCTTTGTTTTGCGTATCTAACCCGCTTTCGTGCCTACTCGTTGCCAACACGACGATGGAGTTGGGTATGTTATGTGTTGCTACCGCTTTTAGAATCGGGCACACCAGTTGTTCAAGACTGTTTACCCTGTTGCTCAGTTCCGGCCAAAGTAACAGTTCATTATCG